ATATTTTTGGGTAAATGTTAATTATTTCTACAAAGATCCTTTATTCTCTCGAAAGATAGATTTTAGAAGACCTTAGAGTTTTCTTATCATTAAATAAAAATCCCACCCTATTATAAGCAAGTTCATATGGTGCATTCACCGTTATCTTTATTCATCTGTTACAGCTTTATTGGAAAACGGCTGTTGCTTTTGTTTCGACACCAAATTAATCTAACTATTTGCATAAGCCTACTGAGTCAGAGAAATATTTTGTTGCCTTCTACAAAAACATAACCTTAGGAACGGGAGTATTATAAATTATGGAATATACATTTATTTTAAATGGATTCAATAAGTTCAAGTAAGAACGTTTCCTAGTTCATTTTTGTAAAATAATACTTTTTTGATATCAATATTTTTAATTCTCAAGATGCTAGAAGCTGATAAAATGGGGCGAAATTTTCTTCACGGCATGGCTTTGCTTAACATGAAGTCATCTACGCTTCGTCTACCTTCCTCTATCGATGCTTTACTCCCAGCTGACATTGGTTTGGTTCCCGCAAAAACTATTGCATTCTCTTTCAGATATGGTATGGAGAGTTTGATACGCAATCTCGTCTCTGAGATTTCTGCCGCCGGATCAGCTTCCCTTTTGACTAATGTTAAATGCGACAAGATTGAAGTGAATAGTTCAGGAGGCTTCACTTTGTATGCAAAAAAAATCTTGGATAATTCTCATTTGGAGTTAAACGTTGATTCTTTATTCATGTGTCTACCTGCCTATAAGGCCGCAGGTCTGCTTTCTGGCCATTTATTTCCCGACGAGCTGCTCGATAAAATCCGATTAACCTCGCTACCCTGGGCTAATGTTGCCGTCGTGGTTCTCGAATTGGACGGTCACGTTCCTCCACCCCATCTGGGTTTTGGCCATTTGGTACCTCGTTGTGAGGATTTAATCACTTTGGGTGTGATTTATGACTCTGTCTGTCTCCCTCATATGGACGCCACTAAAACTATTTCTACTCGATACACCGTCATGATGTCACCGCCTGCAACTTGGATGGACCAATTTTTTTCTGCTTCGGAAAAAAAAACATTGCCTATTGGCCTGGCTGATGAGATGGAAGTTTTTGCTCTTTCAGTTCTGACTCGCCATCTAGGAATCCAAAATCCTCAGGTTTTGGGGCGTCAGGTCAGCATTTTGCCTAATTGTATTCCACAATACCCGGTTGGGCACACTGAGAATATTGACCTATTTCGTTGTGGGATCAGAAGCTGCCTTCCTGCCCATCTAGCTGATCGGCTTAAATTTGTCGGTAATTCGTACGATGGAGTTGGCATTGCAGATGTGGTACTGAGCTCTGTTATGGCTGTTGACTCCATCTTTGGATGAGCTTGCTTATCTTTATGTTTGTAAAAATTATTATATTTCCCACTTAGTATTTCGTTTGACATTAACAAGTGATAAGTGCTCACTATTCCCTTCAACATATCTGATGATCCTGAAACCCTAATCTTAAGCACTTACCGAAATTCTATGCTTTTCTAACTTAAATAAAATGGAACATGTCTCACCATATTCTTTCAAATAACTCAGCCAACTTAGAAATGAAAAACTAACCTTATTCCAGTGAAAAGAGCTTTTCAAAGCTCTTACTAACGAACACTCCTTTTAATTCGATCTCTTAATTAATTAGGAATTTAACTTTTCACATGACTGGCTGCTAAATTCAAGCTTTACCTCGAACTTTTGTCGTACAACCTAGCCCTGCCACTCAATTTTTTCAAATGTTGATACAAACCTACATGACAGATACTTAAGTGAGAATGGTTCGCATTTTGTGGGCAGCAAAATACCACTGGTTTCATCAGTGCAATTCCGCTTTGATGCGAAACCGCTCCAGAATAAATAAATGTCTATACCAAGATACTACTGTAGTGACGCTCCCCACAACATAATATGAGACCTCCCGCGAGCCTGATTACATTGGTAAGCTTTCTGTCTTAAAGCAAACGTGTTCAAGTGATGCCTTAATTCATAATCAAATCGATGGCTCACTTCTTTTGCGGGTTGTTATTATGCGCTGCATATTTTTTTCGTCCCAACAGACGAGCATCTATACAGGAACTGCTATCCACGGTATAACGCAATAGGCTTATCCTTACCTAATTAAAAAAACGCGTTCACATAGACAGCTAATTGCTGCTCTAGTTTTTACTGCATATGTTGTGAATAGGGTCACTTGGCATTCCTTAGGAGTCACTTCTGCCCCATGACCCAGGGGTAACGTAGCGCACTGACTAACGAGGCGAGATTATATGCTGCATTACCAGGGTTATAGTCCAATTGGAGATGCCGATGACACCTAGGCGAGATTTAGATTACTATCTAGTTTGGGTGATAATACTTTTTGGGAGGCAAAGTAACGTGAAATACAATGAAAACACGGACCTATTTCCCTCAGTGTGAGAAAGTTCAAATACGATTACCTTGAACATAGGTTCAATATTACCCCTCGCGATGTTTCCTCTTGACATTAACGACTGCAATGGACGAACGATT